ACTAAACATTTATAAATAAACTTCTGACTGGTTGACCATCGTGGCTGCCAAAGGTTAAAAAAAAAAAAAAAAAAATATTATAATAACTAAATAATAACTAAATTATTTAATAAATTATGTAAAAATTATTATCTAACCTGTTATGCAGTATGTCGATCATACCATGATTTGTGTAACGATGAACGTTCACCCCTGCTGCTTGTATCACTTGCAGAAATAGTTTGTCTGATTGGCTAATAAATCTAATTTAAGTTTACATTATTTATACAGTTTAAAGTACTTTTTAAAAAAACGAAACTAATCATAGCGAAATAAAAAAAGCTGTATAGAAGATTTCATTAGAGCTATAGGAGACCATAGTCAAAAATAAGATCTAATTCTCGTCCGGTTTTTTTTTTTTTGGTGTTAGGGTATTCTCGTCCGTTTAAAAAACTTAGTATAATAATAACTTCTCAAAACCCGATAAAATCAACTTATTTCTAAGCTAATTTTTTTAAACGGACGAGATTTAAATCTTTATTTTTGAGCATGGAGTCCTAATAGTTTTTTTTTTACTTTATTATAGGTGGTTTTCGTTTTTTTAAAAAATACTCTAAACTGTATAAATAATGTAAATTGAATTTATTAGCCAATCAGACGAACTTCTGCCTATTAAGTTTATCGGACAATACCGTTATTGAATGCTACGTACACATCAATAACTTACTAAATTTAACGTACTATTTCTGGGCCCAAAAGCTAGCACATTAAATTTATCGTTATGAAATGACGCATTAGGATCTTCAAAAAAGGTATTGGTTTTCATATGAGTGCTGCCAAGAGAAAACCTCAAACCGGGGAATTTAAGTTTATTATTTGTTATTTGCTAGATTCATCCGTGTTCTGAAACATGTATGATATGTAATTAAATTTACTCACGTATCCTCTGATTAGGACTTAGTCTAACAAAAAATTTCCTGTTTGAGATTTTTATCCATATGTTTTAATATACGTCACTCTGGTTATACCGATAGCGACATTTTGTAAAATTGAGACCTAATTATCGCGCCGTGTGATGTCAGGGATCCAGCATTCAAAGTTAGGAATGTTAAATTGCGAATCCAGTCCGGTCCGATCCTAGGATCTAGAAAGACAGTCCTGGACTCGGTCCTTTAAATCACATACATTTTATAGGACTTAGATCCTGTAACAGATCCTGAATTGAATCTATCGAATGAGTTCATCCAATTAATTTTGTATTGTTATAATCATTCAATTCAGGATCCAAGTAGAGACTTGACTCGAGTCAACTCGTAACTTAAAAAACATAGTCTTGACTCGAATTGACTCGAGTTAATTTGAGGTAAGACTATTTTTTTATGCTACGAGTTGACTCGAGTCTAGTCTCTAGATCCAAGTCCTATAAAATTTATTGTGTTTTCATGTGATTTAAGGACCGGATCCTGCAGGTCCTTGTAAGGATTCTGTCCCAAAAGACCCCTATTCAAAGTCCGCCTATGGCAAAGAGGTGTTTGAATACTAGACCCCGATATCACGCAGCGCGATAATTAAGTTTCGGGATTCTGACCCAAAATCGGTTTGAATCTATATACATAATACGTATGAAAAGCTTCCGGTTAAACCGACATTTGATTTTTTATTTTATTTTTTTGAGGTAACTTGATAACTTGATATATTCTTAAGACAATTACTATTTGTACACGGGTGTATGTACCTGGGCGATATCAAAATCAGTCGATATCCGATTATGAAACTATCTTTTTGCTTTTAACAAAAAAACTTTCTTCAAAATTTTGGTATAAACTATACCTCACCGCAATCCCTAGTCTACCCTAACCATAAGTAATGGTTTAATTTTTGTTCGTAAAAATTGTTTTGATTGGTATGTTACATGAATTTGGAATTACAGAATTCAGGAATTAATAAAATTAATACCCGTGTACAATTATAAATTTTCTATTCTTAATGTTTAAAAAAATGCGATTTTATAAAAAGTACAATTAATTAAAGTTTCTATACTTTTATTATTTTTCAAGAACAAAAGTTACAGATCAAATATATAATATTAAAAATATTTAACATCATACCATATCGCGAATAAACAATAATTTTTTCAAGATATGTAAATGCAATTATTTATTCACGATATAGTAAAAGAGTTTGGTCATAGCCCAACCCGTAATAATCAAAAAATCAATTTTTTATACCCTAAAATCACATTTAATGAATTATAGTAAAAAAAAAAAAATTACTATGCAGAAATTAGCATTCATAAGGAAAATAAATTTACAATAATTAAATGAAAGCATATACTATATACTTTTTCTAAATAGAAAGAAATAAATACAGCGTACAAAAAAAAATGGTTTACAAAACTACCAATGTTAATAAAACAAATTAGAAATTACCCAAATATTGAAAAATGGTTAGAAGTATGCACCGGATCTATTATTTTTTGGTTGTTTACCACCCCGATCAAGAAATGAAGGCTTAGGACTAACACTTCTTGCCCTATTAACATTAGAATAATACTCGGCAGGATTTACACGTAATAGTTGCTGTGACTTTTTTGAGGATAATTTAGCAATATTGTCAGAAGGTGGATATACTCTTGACGGTAATTGATTTCCTCGTTGTGGTGGAAAGGGTGGGGACGTATCAATTTTTGTCCTATCATTATACCTATCGTTGTACCTATCATTATATCTATTATTATTATATCTATCGTTATATCTATCGTTATATCTATCGTTATATCTATCATTATACATCCTTAAATCATAATTATTTGGTGGCCTATCAGGCCTATCATTATAAAATCGTGGATCATAATTATTTGGAGGTCTATCATTATACATTCTCGGATCATAATTTTTTGGAACAGGTGGAGGACCAAATTTTCTTTGATCATCATAATTGTTAAATCTGTTTGATGGATTATTAACATCATGACTTCTATTCATGAGATTCGTAGATGATGTGGGTGGACCTGGTGTTAACAAATCATCATTCTCATCATAAATTCTCGGGGGTCTACCTCTGTTATTATCATTTGAGGGAAAAGGTCTTGAATTATTTGGTGAAGGATTTTTGTAACTTTCTGCAGGATGTCTATTAGCGGGTGGGTTATTTATATGAGAGGAAACATGATTTTTTATAGGTTCTCTTTCTGGAGAAGTAGGCTTAGGATCATATAACCAATCAGGAATATCACCAGTTTTCTGTTGATGATATTCACGTAAGATACGAGAAATATGTGTTTCACCTTCCCAATCATCTTTCTCAGACTCTAATTTGTAGATTTGGATTAAGTAAAGAATTCTCATAGCATATAGACAACTTTGGAAATTTGAAAAACACATACCATTATCAGAATTATCTTCAATAGAACTATAAGCCGATGATGCAGCACTTAATAATTTATCCCACAATTTTGTACCAGGGGCAGAAAGGGTCGGTGAGACAGAGTCGTCTAAAAAAAAGATGAAAGCATTGCTTAGCATTGCTTAGCATGTGAAGAACAAACGTGGAAATTAAGATAATTACAACCAAATGAAAATTTTACCTTCAGACATTTCTTTCCAGTTATTCACAGTCCTGAGTTTGCTCCACAAACTAGCAGCAGACTGTTCTTTATTATTATTGTCATTACTCTGCTTACTGGAGTTAGTTTTGTTGGGTGACAGATAGGAAGGGAGTGGTTGTGCATTTTTTGCTTCTGGTATTATACATTTGTGGCGAGAAGGGTAGAGACCAACATCAGAACCACAGTCCTTACAAAGGACTACAAGTCGAGAAACTCGGTAGTCTACAACTTCTGCTACCATTTGTTTCGTCTAATAAAAGTTGTAAAGTTGGTTTATAACAAGACTTTTGATTAACTTGGGCGAGATATTTTAATGAAAAAGGAGGGTACTAATTATTGAAACAAAAAAATAGTCTTTGTTAAGAATGAAACATCGAAAATTTATTGTATAAATAAAACAATTACCCTTTAGATCTTTATTAATTAACATGTAACATCGAAGTTACAATTTCGAATAATTTTTAGTTCAAATTGAGTAATGATTGGCCGATCTATTACAGAGCTTTGATTGGTATACAAACAAAATAATTATTGTGTGAAAAATAAACAGTATTGTTTTATTATAAATAATATATATATATATCAAAATTAGTCTATAGTTAGGTAACTATTAAAAGCAGCGGCTGATTTTCAGCTTTACCAAAAAAAGTGCAACCAGGGGATCGCACAGTTTGTAACTAATCTCAAACTGTCTAAAGACTGTCGATTTGCATTTCGGTTTTTAGGGATTTTTATAGAAGTGTTTTTAATGATATTATTTTTTAAAATCCATCTAAATCTAGGTTTTTTTTACACGATTATAGACAAGTCTTTATCATCAGAGTGCCGCCACAAAAAATCTGTAAATCTTTAATATCGCAATTAATCCTATAAAAGAATATCTAACGTAAATTGATTTCCCCCGAAAGTTATCACATGCCTTAAATTATGTAGTGTTATTATGATCCATCACATTTTTCCTTTGACAGTATCATATATATGGCCCATTTAGTTTGTGATTTTAAACATGTGACTAGATTTGTTCAATCAACTGTCCTCTAATCAAATGAAAGATTTTGTTGTTACATAACATATGTAGTGTATCGGTTTACGTAACAGTCAATCAAAATTTCCTTATCGCTATGTACTGTATAATACAATATTATTAATTAATAAAATTTTTGTTGTAATACAGTAACCATTAATGAAACCAATTATATTACAAAAATTAAACATTTGTGTAACTTCTCCATGAGATGTTTATTTAATTCCGATCGGAAAATTTGACAGGATTGTGTTTTAGTGCATTAGTCTGTTGCTGATTGGTCGATCATCTAATCTAGTATCCCTTGCTATAATACTTTTCAGGCATAATTCATGAGTCATGATTCAGAAAATTAAAGTATACTGTTTACCTACACTGGTTCCGGGCCTAATAACTAAAATTTACAGATGCGAACTGGGCCGGGCCAGATTAATTAACGTTATAAATATTTATATTAAATAAAAAACATTAGCATTTTATATAGTAGGGATTGGAACCTTTTAACCGTTTAAAAATTGCTCCATAGTTTCAGGCAGAATTATGTTGGTCGTGAGCCGGAATTATTTTAATGCTGGTCAAATTAAACGATTAAAAAAAATTTTAGACAGTTCCAATTCCTATTATATAAATACATTATCAATAAGAATTAGTAATCAAATATATAAGACCATCATAAAATGTTCTTTATATGCTTACTAAATAGTTAAAAATATAAATAATATAGTACTAAGAATATGTATTAATAATATTTGTCTTGCTTTTAAGAAGGTTTAACCTAATCAATTAATTTTAAAATTAGATAACAGAATGATTTACTGGTAACAATTAAAACTGCTATATAATAGGTCAAGCAAGAGTAAACAGATCAAGTAGTTTACAAAAATAAAAAAATATTAGAAGACAAAAAAATAAGTATTTAAAAAAAATTAAACAATTATAAAATTAAACAAACATGTATTTAAATGTTTTTAAAATTAAACAAACATGTATTTAAATGTTTTTAAAATTAAACAAATATGTATTTAAATGTTTTTAAAATTACTTTTAAATATAAAAAAAAAATTAATACAAAATAAAATTTTTTTTAATATTAAAGTTTTTGTCTTTAAAAAATAATTTTTATTTAAGTTGTATAAACACAAACAGTTTCATATATAGAAGTTTACAATTAATTATACATATACTATTAGTGCTTATTTGTTTTTGTTAAAGTCTTTGTTTTTAGAAAGTAGTTTTATTTAAGTTATTATAAACACAAAAACTTTCAAAAAATTTATTATATAGAAGATTACAGCTAGTTACATATGCATTTTTGGTACCTATTTTATATACAAGTTTTATACTAAATATTATACTTTTAAGTCAATTATAGGTTTAACTTTTTGCATATACAATTTAACTTGTATCTTAAAACATTTTTAAAACACAGTTTATTCAAAGTTCTTAATTTTTATTGGTATCTTTAGGTCTATTTTATTTTTAACAAAAAACTTACTAGAGTCTTTTGTGTCTTATATACAACTAATCTAATTTTATTTAATATATTATAGTTAAGCTAACACTTGTAATTATAGATATTTTATTAAACTACTACTATTACACTATTTTTACTCTTGCAAAGTTTATTAAAATTCTAATATCTACTTTACTAATATCTTCTTTTTATTTTGATTTTAATTCTTTAAATTACCAATTTAGATAATCTAGTAAACTTATTTTTAAGTTTTTAGTAAACAATTAAATATCTATTTTTTTTAATAAATTTTAATAACTTAGTTGATTATATGTTTTTTTATATATATTTGTTATTTAGTTTATTAAGTTTCTTCTAAAGTTTTTATCAATTCAATAATATTATTAAAAGTCTATATTATTTTTATTTAAAATTTTTAAATAAAATTTTGTCTTTTTAGTTTTTTAGTATTATATGTTTGTTGGCCTTATTATAAGTTTATACTAAAGTTTTATACAATATTAGTTTTTAATATTTCTTTAAATATATATAATATTACATATTGTATAGATATTCTAAATTTTTATTTAAGATAATATATTTAAGATTATAGATTATTTTTTCAATTTATTATAGTACAAATATAAATTTTAAATTTTATTATAAGTAAGATTTGAATACTAAATCTTTCACTTAAAGAATAAAAACTTATTTACTATATTAAAATTACTATTTTACTATTAGTATTTAATTTTTTTTTTTTAAGTATTAAGATGAGTACTTGTGACTCAGGATTTTATTAATAGTATATTTGGCTAATAGTTGCATTACAACTATAAGAGGCAATCATAGAAAGAGTGTACAACTAGCCACTTGTACAACTTTAGTCATTGTCTAATTTAAGTAGTCTATTCAAAGGTTCTACACTAGATCATCCCATAATATTGCAAAATTTGATTGGTTAATTGATTTGATCTATCTTTAATAGTATAGACTAAAAATACAAAAGTTGTAAGAATTAAAAGATCTTAACTGTCTTTTGTGATTGGTTGAAATAAGACATCTGTAACCTAGCTGCTATACCTAGAACCTGCTTGTAGGTTCTCTATTTAACTATTCTAGTTTCTGTATTTACTTATCTACCTCTGTTTACCAACAACCCTGACTGATGTTGATAAAAATATATCATAGTTACTAAGTCTTTAAAGCAGTTCTTTAGAACTTTTGATCTTGTACTAAACCTTCTAGAATCTTCTGTATATCATTCTTACAGCTGACCTGATATTGCTATAGTCAAGACCAACACTAGTGATCAGAGTATATCATTAAACTGCTATGTTCTTGTAGAGTTCACCCCAACTCTAGTATTAACTTCACAATATATTCTTACTATTTTAATATTCAATTTAAGTTCTACTAAACTGTCATTTCAGATAGCTCGAAAAGATAGATCAAAACTATACATCTCTGATTTACATATTTGCTAGCATATACTCTTTTTTTCTAAAATCTGGAAATTCTGATAGCCTGGTTGGTTCATCTGGTTCCTCCTCAAAGACTAGCATATTTGCTTAGTTTTATAAGTTCTAGTTCTGTTTCATAAGTCTAGTCTTTACAGTAGCACTATTAAAAGTTCAGGTTACTTCTCTATTCAGATCTTCCAAGTAGGCTTCTGTCTTTTTTCTTTTGGTTCATATAATTTACATGACTACAAGAACTTATTGTAAGTTTGTACTGCCCAGTATCAGTTTGCTTTTTTTGTATAATCACAGACCTTGTCCCAAAGAACAATGTCATATAACTATTACACAAATGCCATATGACTTGCTAATTATGCTAGTATAACACAGATAACAGTATCTTATTCTAACCAATTGCAAGAAACAGTTAATTATAACACAGAGAGAATTTTTAAATTTTCTGTTGATACTGAGATTTGAACTCTGAACCTGCCACTTGGAAGTTGACAATCTGACTACTTTATTAGGTTATCACACCCTATTAGTATCTAATTTAAGTAGTTTATTTATAAATTATTATATAGGTTCTATATTAGATATTATATTTGTGCAACTATTACTTTTAAAATAATAATGTTCTCTAGATTTAGTAAATTATTCTTAGAAGAAAATAATAGAAATAGACAGATAATTAAGTTTATTTATGCAAAAAACCAATATACAAAATAGGCTATAGTATTTTGTATAGCTATGCAAATTGAGTATATAGTAAGTGATCTTATAGAAGATAATAATCTTTCCTTAATATCATTTTATCTAATTTTTTGAAAAATACAAATTAAAAATTATTTTCCAAACTATATCAAATAATTCTACAATTCTTCAACATCATTTATTTAATAAAATTACTATTTAATATAATATTAAGCTTTATACAAACTCTATTAATCTTTTAGATAAATCTTTAATTAGAATAAGATTAATTATTATTATTTTAATTTCTGCTAAAATAAGTTTTTCTAATACTATAAACTATTATTTCTTCTAATACTATAATATACATCTATATTTTATTTACATATCTTTTAATACTTTTTTATTAATAACTATTTTAAAAAATTAGTTTTAATATCCTTTAAACATAATATAAATAAAGCTTATATTTATCTTTTTTATAAATTCAAACTCTTATCTAAAGATTTCTTCTTATTATTATAGCATTTTGCATCTAATATTTCAGGTTGTATACTATTAAGATTCTCTTTCAACATATTAGTTTTTCTTATATTATCATCATTAGATAA